GTGTATGTATGAGGAGATTGGATTGGCGTTATCATCAACTGCTGCAATTTACCAAGGGACAACCCTATCCGAGTATAATTAAATTGTCAGTGTAAGGTATAACTCCCGCTTACTTACGCTGGGGAGTGGAGTTGGTGATCATTTCAATACTTAATCAAAACGATATACACACACTGAGTGATGAATATCAGTGCTGGTCGTTATGCAATTGATGCGCAGTTAGCGAAGTAACATTATCCCGATCAAATGTCAGTTTAATACTGTGACGAGTAGAGTGAAACTTTGTTAGTCCGAATTAACAAATTTCGGATTAATGAATCATCCTAACTGAATGACGTATTGTGTTTCATTTTAGACATTTCTAAAGATAATAGTTCAGAAGCGGGGTTCCGGATAAACGAGTTCATGAATAACGATATACCAATGTAATCCACTCCCATGTAGAACTTGTGGTTTATTCCTAATGACAAATTGTGAGGCAGATCATTTCTGATATTTTTATATGATAAAGCACTGAGGGGAAATTCATTTCTCTTTCTTTTGTTAACAGAGAATGTAGATAATATTGCGGTTGTCGTGATAAGACCACTCCTTTTTTTATAAAAGACGGTACCATTACTTGATTCATAACATGCCCAAAAGAACGAATGTAATTAATTGCAATTTCCCTCCAGTATAAGAAAGAGTGTCTGCAACTGTTATTTCATACGACTTTTACCAGAGAGAATACGTATTAATATACATTTTCTATGAGTATCTCTCATACAGACGAATTTCGGAGTTGAAGTTCGGAGGGAAATACATTCGTCAATATATACATCGTATTCTTTAATTAAGTAAGGCGTAATTGACTTTTGTAATATACATGTTGAGACTACAAATGTCGTTTGAATTTTAGCTTACCATTTTCTTATACATGTGTTTTTAATGCTATCTTCACACATTCATGAACACAAGTTTCAGTGATAGTGAACCACTACCAAGGTCACGTGTGGAAAGTACCAGACTGTGAAGAAATGAACATTTTCCGTTTTTATGTTTATGCTCTAGACGATTTCTCTATGTACTTAAAGTCGTTCCATTCAAAATGAATCTTTTGCGAAATGATCGGAAGTTTTATGTGCATTTTGAATTGCTAATGCAAGATGCGATTACACGTTATTCGGATACTTGTGCCAATTGAGTATGCATGAGCTTTCTGTTTTTAGTAACAATGAGCATAATGTTGCCACAAAAGTTGAAAGATCGTGTCCAAAATCCGATATTTGCACATGTGCATTTTAGCAATTTTGAAAGCTAATTTGTCAGTTGCAGTAATGACGTTATTCAAAAACAAAACGACATAACGTCATCCATGCATGATGTCAGTGAGTGATAACGTTTTAAATTGGACATGTCGTACCTTTTCATTACATTACATGACAGTGGTAAATATATAGAATCAGCCTCGAAATTAGGATTAAGTGTTTTTTGCGAGAAACGTGCAGCATTCAATCACACGTTTTCGTGAGTGTATGTACATCTCACAAACGTTTTTTGTCCATTAAGGCCAAGCCATATATCACTATGGCACGCCGTATTCAGATTCCATATGCCATGACTTTATATGGTAAAATATACAAACTTTACAAAGTGAGGCAACTCGAAGACGAATGGAGAATTGGTGACTCAAATAACAAATATCGATAAACATAACAGGAGAAAGAGTAGGTCAACTGAATTCTTAGAATGCATCAAACACCTTCAACAATGATTCCTTTGATGTAGGATGAAACGTGATGATATTACCAAAACATATTAACTTTGAAATATTATACGTCTACATTTAGAAGAAGAAAAACATATGCGAAAAAAACCCGAAAAATAATGTCTCTCAATTTACAACTCATTTAGTCAGTCAAATAAGGCGCTTCTTCACTTCAATTCTCAGGAAACTTTGCAAGACTGAAGTGCAACCACTGCATTCTGTTGGACGTTATAACGTTACAGTGCGTTAATAGAAATACAGCGACACACAACTGATACAAGATAGAAATACGGTTAATGACTGTCGGTACTACTTGTGGCGTCTCTCTAATAATTTGTAGATACGAAAGTTGTTTGAAGCACCATGAAGAGATCAGCAGTTCTATCTTTATTGAGATTAATTAATATTTAACTCTTAACAAATTCCACCACTCGTAATAATACTTTCTCCTACCGTAACGTCGGTGTCAGTTGATACCGACATATACATGTATGTCACACATATATCAGCTGTATTATAAACCAGCATTTATATATTAAGCTTATACTTATGCACATATATTTTATTATGAGTGATCTTAAGTGTATTCTATTTGTCGATACTATGTGCAGATGCGAATATAATAGATTGTTAGTTTTACAAACAAGTACTATAGGTAATTTATTCAGCTGAGCTAATAACTTGCTGAGGAGAGTTGTGCCCCTTAATTTACCGGTTTCCGCTTGTGGTTGATTGTTGACGGCTTGTGTTATTTCCCTTTGTTATGCATAGAAACGACCGAAATGATAAACAACTTAAATGGCTAAAACGTCAGTGTTAACGCTAACACCAAGGTCGAAGGTCCCAACAAACCGAAACATATGGAAGTACAGCTTCTTGGTTAAACATCACGCCAAACCAATGAAACATGTGAAATACCGTTATATAGGATAATCAGTATTTGCAACTAGGTATCGCCGTTTCGCCGTCGTTGTAGTTGGTTCATATGGCTGTGATCAAATCATTTTAACTTAATGCTCACACGGATGTTATTCAAGAACTTTTTGTGTCTTCGTGGCAATGCATACATTCCGATATCGTTGCCAGTTTTCAGTTTAATATTTCCCATTGCTCAACCGGTCCTCATTATCGTCTTTTTTTCCTGTCTACTCGCAATTTAACCAACGAACCTTGAAAACACTGCCAATTAAGAAGAAACAATCACGAAGTAAGAGTTACTTTCCTTGTCATGCTGGCATCCGCTTTCACGTCATTTAACTGGATCAACGTGTAAATATTGCAAATCATTTGGTAAAATACTTTCTTGTCGTCCTCAATAAATCCACCGAGCGACCCACCTTTTTAAACCTTGGAGACTATGCATCACTCAAATGAATATTTTCCTATAACCACGGGAATCACCTTAATCATACTTTATGTTATACCATCATCCCAAAGGCATAAATCTTGCTTTTCATCTACATATATATATATATACAAATTATGTGGTTTCTCATGTTCCCTCACGTGTAATGTATTTCACACAACGAATTACATTAAACATTCATACACATATATACATAAGTGTATCGTGTATGAACATGACTTCAGCTGCAGGAGAATCACTAACGACATCAAGAGGAGTGAAGAAAGGTGCTTCTATCGCCATCCTTATTTCACCATAACCATCTTACGAAAGTCTCGTTATTTAACCTTCTTGAAACTCCATGCCTGTTTCGCCTAAAGTCATATGGAACATACATACGATCGTTACACCGTATGTCATCATATGTGTATGAATAAAGTATGCATCAATCAAATCAAGGAATGCAGTTATATATATATACGCTGATGCACAATCTCGACGGTTGTATATTGAAAGGAGATCGCATCACCTTGTGTTTTCAAGCATACACCGACCGGACACGTATTGACCGTCTTGTTGTACTACATGTGTCTTTCCCTATCAGCATTGTATCACGCAATGCTGTATGAACATCACTTCCATTAGTGGCATGCATTCCCATGTATGAGAACGTTGTAATTTTAGCTTGTATTTTTATGCAAACAGCAAATGGGTTCTCACTGTCGGGTCCTGTCCGTTTAATTACAACTAACCCACGTTACCTTTTAACTGCAAATTACCTAGCACTCTGACGAGGAATATGATACAGGCACGGGGGTATTTCAGAAAATGAGATTAAGGAAAACAGTTAAGCTCATCATTTCATATGAAATTGAAACATTTAATCGTTACAATCAAGCAATGCAGTAAGAAAACGACCCAATACACGAAACTGCATGATTGCTTTACGGAATATCAAAAGAAGGAACTCTTTAATAGGTGAGGTGAAATGGACTAAACGTCGCTTTCAAGATCATTGCACCACTTATATAGTGACGTGCAAGGGGTGTTTGGTGTGCGTGTGTGTGAGTGTGAGTGTGTGTGAGTGTGAGTGTGAGTGTGTGTGTGTGTGTGTGTGTGTGTGTGTGTGTGTGTGTGTGTGTGTGTGTGTGTGTGTGTGTGTTTTGAGGCTGCTCGTACTAGTCCGGACAAATGCCGGTTTAATCGTGCTACCCCGCTTATATTCCATGTCGCAGTTTATCATAGATACCCCACTCAGACACAGTATTCTGAGCCGACAAGTCCTTGTTTTATCCCCTTAAGACAAGTTATCAACGAGTACTATCTTTTTACGTCTTTTGATATGACGCGGCCGGGATCGAACCATCGACCTTTTGCTCTCCGAGAAGACGCGCTATCAACTACACGACGTAGACGGTTGAATTCTTTAATACAAGTACAAGATTCCTTTGTTACAAGGAACATTGATCTTTACTCATGTGAGTTAGAATGCTACTTTTTTCCAGCGAACGAAGATAAAAGGTTTTCTTTTTTTCTTCATCTCGCGAAGAACAATCTCTTGTGCAGATATCAGAGTACTTTAATGTTTAATGGATACTGGTACGTTTGAACATAATCAATGGATGCGAAAATGTTAAATTCCTACGGTGTAACACAGTAAATATACAACATAGTTTTAAAAGAAAAAAAAATTAAATGTGGTCAATTATTAAGTACCTGCTTTTCCTGCACACTGATCTTAATTATCATATCAATATATCTCCAAAAAGTCAACAGTAACATGAACATTTCATTTGGATTCCATTGTTCTTTTCAATATGTCTTTTCAATGGTTGCGGACAGGCACAATGGAAATTCATAAAAATGTGTAAATGACAAAGTTATGAAGTCATAATAGTATGCACCTACCTGTCTACTCGATAGTCCCTAGGTTTTACTAACTAGAGAAGTATGATAACGTCTGTCCTACACGTAGGTATGTCCCCAATTGGCTTGCCTTCTCGGATACCCTGGCGATGGTACAAAGTGACTCCCCTGTCGGATTTACGCGAATTAGCGGCACAACGCAGTCCTTGATGGCTTATATAGCAACTTAGCATCCGTCGATAGCAATATTCTGTACGTGCTGAAATCGATTATTGATTGATGGGTGGCAACTGTCAATCAGCACGGCGTGAGCGAGGGGGAAGGGTTTGTGGTTTGTGTGGGGGCGGGAGAGGAGGGAGGGGGAAGGGGCTCGAGCCTTAGGCACTGCAAGCTAGCACACCTCCTCTGGAGGAACGAGAGTGGCATAGTTGCTATGGAAACGATGCAACAAAATGAGCGTTCTTCGTATCATTACGGGAAGTGAGGGCTTGACGGAGAGAGAGCAGGCGTAAAGACCGTTGGCGATCAGCGCAGGGCTCTATGAGAAAATCGGAGACAGTACATGTCTTGTTAAAATGGCGTCAAATGGTGTTGGTCAGAGGCAGCGGTTTAAGACAAGTCGTGAAAGGTTATGGCAGAGAAGACGTAATGGAAACCGTGAACTTTTGGTGTGTTTCAGCTGTTTTTGGTAACATCAGGAAGTGTCAATACCTCATCTGTTTAGAACTTTGTGTATTTTATTGTCAATTGTGAAGGGTATTTAAAGGATTATGATATATTTTGTAAAACTTCTTATAATTAATTATGATGACTGGGTCCTTTTTATTCCAAATTGACTGTTGGTTACTTTAACTTAGAAATAATACAAAATGTATATAGTATTTAATACCTGCGTTGATACCTGCAGGCAATAGCCGCTGAGAACACGTCATCAAATGCCAGCAAGATACCAGTATATTGATTCGCGATGACACCGTACTATATGATACGTGACGAAATAATGAACAAACACCTCAATACGTCAATACGTTATGTCAGGATAGGGGCGTCTAACGTCCGTCACGGGTGTGGGATAGAACAGTCAATATAAGAAATCTATCAACTTTAATCAACTTGTGAGCACATGGATGCGGATGGAAACACATGTGAACCATGCTAATGAGTTTTCAAGGATGCAGTAACCAGGACACTTAGGAATGAAAAAAATTCCGTATGGGTGTAGTGATACAAGTGTATCCATCTCCATGGTGTACCAAGAACCACGAATCAATGTGATTACTGTCACTAGAAACGAAACGCTTCTTGTTGAAACTAGTGCTGCATGGCCCTGTGAAACACGTTTGAAACAGACTTTAGTAAACTGTTTCTATTGTTCACAATGAGCTGCGGCTTGAAATACATTCGGTTTACGTTCTTTCCACAGTTTGTAGTCAGTCCCTGTGTTTAGAAATCCATATTTCCAAACATAGACGCACTGAATTATTTTTTATGTTGCTCTGGTTTTTATGAAGATGGTTTGCTAAACTGTATGTAGTTTGAATTTAAACAACTCCTTCCCTGCAGAAATTGGGCCTTCTCCATCGCGTTTGAGAAGACACCTTTGTGACAGTGGTCTAAGACCCGCGATTCCACATGCAGAGTTGCGTCCCTTATTCATGTAAGGATTTCCTTCTTGGATTCGAATCCAAGATTCTCTCTAAATTGTCATCCTCGGTCAGTCAAGAACAATACACTTGGGCTTCACCAAATCGTCACATTGGGCTTCCTCCAAACATAAAGCTGACCCGAAATCATAGAAGCTAATGTACTGTCAAATCTACTCACATATCTCGCAAAAAGCTTCTATATCCCATCGTCACTTTCATGAATATATGAGTCAGAGTGTCAGAACTCAATGTTCACTGTACGCGAAGTCCTTGGGAGGAGGTGAGACGATAAGCAATGGAGGGTAAGTCTTTTCTTGCCGACGGTTAATGTGAAGAGGACAACATTTACTCGAAGGCGTTCAATCAAGACAGGGAAGTAACTTCGTCTTGAATTGTTTCATGGAGATTCCCATACAAAATACATTAGTCACTGAACTATATAAAAATGGCATATGGCAATCATAGCTTCAAGACACGTAATTCCCGAAATTTTAACACAAATGCGTGGTTGGTTTTTTTAACCAAACAATTCCCCGTCGCACACTTTACCTGTCGGACTTTTCCTCAAATTACCGGCTATACTTATATCGATAAAAAATAAGATTGGACACTGCAAAGAATATTACGATTGATTTTTTTATCATTTCAGCCAGCAATAAAGAGAGTGTTAGGAATCGGCCGGGGGATGCTGTAATCCGATATTCGCATCACTGGTAATTGGCGTTGTCACTAATTGCAAGTTCCCAAACCACGCGGGGGTGGAAAAACAAATTAGCCCTCCATGTGATGGAGAATTAAAACGCAAGCAGGATCATCATTATGTCACGCATACTCTTACGTTTGTAAATTTCTAAATCGACTCTTAATGAATAAATAATAACGTTAGATGAGAATACGACCACTGTCAAGAAACTTGAAATGTCACCACAGCAAACATTAAGGTATTCGAAAATAGAAAATACACACCACGATTCCAACGAAATCGTATGTGTTATCTTCCTACATTGTTATGAGATTCGAGTATGTAGGATGATTATATTCTCTTAGAACAAGCAAACAAACAGTCTTGATGTCATTATGAAATAGATTCTGCCATGTCTCCAATCACCCTAACTGTTCTAATGTCATTATGAATATATGGTTAATGAGGAAATATCAAATCAATGTATGAAAAGAGCAAGTAATGGGGTAATTTCCAATGTTGAAGCCCCTTATTCCTGGTCATAATGTGATGAAACGCCAGCGTCGCTGACATCATCGCCAGTTACGTGACATAGTTTCTTGAATGGAAATAACTAACGGTGTTACTCTCTCAAACTTATTCATTCTCTCTGCATTCTAAGATTGTTTACAACCCTTACATGCTATCCTCTTCACAATCGATACATGGTTAGCGATTCAGAGTATGGACATCACAACACATATACATTGTCAATGCAAGAGGGGCGGTCGGGAAGCCTAGTGGTTAAAGCGTTCGCTCGTCACGCCGAAGACCCGGGTTCGATTCCCGACATAAGGTACATTGTGTGAAGCCCATTTCTGGTGTCCCCCGCCGTGATATTGCTTGAATATTACTTAAAGGGGCGTAAAACATATTCACTCACTCACTCACTCACTCACTCAATGCAAGAGAATAACCAGCCTAGATTTTCTGCCGAAACAGATTCCCGTTGGCGTAAGGACTCAGTCACATAGGATTTTTACTGCCGACCTGGATAGGACTATTCCCGATTAAAATGTGTCAAAAGTCTGATCAAGATCCTGTGATTCGTGGCGGGATATTCACAAATAATCAGATATTGTTCAGGAAGCGTCCCGATTCAGTCGTTTCCAGCCGTATTCGTCCCGATTCGCCCGTTCCGAATCTGATCCGATTTGTATCTTCCGCATGGTAAAAAACGACCGATTCTCCCGAATGCGACCCGACAGAGATCAGACAGTGACCGGACAGTGAACCGACAAAGACGGTTTGCATTCGGCAAGATCTTGACGCAATCTGGACTAAATCGACAAGAAACGGCAATGAACAATTCATGCCCGTTCATCACGACAGCGTCCCGATCAAGGACTCTGTTACGAACGTATACGACTGCGTTCAGACAATGCTAGGACATTCCAGATCATTGAGGACAGTTATCCGATTTTTTCAATTTTCTTGCCGTGGCGCTGCGCTGAACGGGAGCCATAATCGGCACTGGGTGAACATAGCCTAAAGGGCAAATAGCTGTGGAAATTATATGAATGGACCACTTAAAATCAGTAATGAAAGCAGGTTTTCCCGAAAAGCGCAAGCATGTCCTGACCGGTAGCATCCGCCATTCATACAAGTTGCATTTAAAAGTAACTATTTGTTGCCTGACGCAGCACAGCAGTACTCCTCCATGCGACGACACACACGTCGCTTAATTTACTGAGAGACTCGGTTTGGTTTTTACGCCGCTGTTTGCAATATTCTATCAATATACCGACGGGGACTCCTTAAATTGGCTTCACACGTTATACCCATATGGGAATCGAACGCGGACCTTCTGCGTGATGAACCACTAGGCTGTCCTGTCGCCCATATGACTGAGAATGGTGGGCGTACGGTTGTGGATTTGACATTTTCCAAAGCGTAAGAGTTGATTCACTTGTTGTTCACATCAAGTAACAACAAGTCACAGATGTTGTCCTTAAAACTGGGCACAAACATTTGCAAACATTCCAATCTTGGAAATGATGATTTCAACGAAAATTCCATGTTTCAAAATCTTGGAATGATAATATTCCCAACAGAAACATGTTTAGAAGGTTATACATGTGTCTTGAGTCTCTGGACTGTTGTGTGAAGTTTCGAGGTGTGAATAGTGTAATGATGTTCAAAAGTACCCTTAACTGTAATTAATCAAATTTTGAATGATCTGTTTTTCCACACATTGAAATGCTGGACAATTCAGTCTGTACATGTCCTTTCCAAGTGTGGAAATGTCGCCTTCATTTCCAGTGAATATTGTTTATTTTATAACGATTAAGTTATTAAATATGTTTTAATCGAATATATGTTTTACTGCACCAGAATCGGCATGTACCACCTGGTGAAACGACCTCGTGACATTTAAAATAAATCGGTGAATACATTTTAAAAAAGAATATGTGAATATTTAAGGAAGTAATAAGGTTTACATTCCCCAGAACAAGAGTGTGACGTTATTGTCTGGCCTGATATTATTTTAATTGTGCAATTCGGGTCAAAAATGAGATCTTCATTCACCCACACTTTCGCCATTATTATTAATATTGACCGATGACGTCATCTAGAGTCGGATTGTTATCAATATGTAACATTATGAAAGCAAATGACATTAATTGGTCACTGTGAACGTAATTACGAGGCAACTTATTTTCATAAAGTTAATAATACCTGTCTCATTCTGTGACTGCCATGTCACACAAATCTGAATATTGATAGTTGAAGCAGATAATAATTTGAGTGGTGTCGTATTCAGAAAACAGCGATTCGCTGTGGCGAGTTACGTCCCTTAGAGGTTCCAGGACTGGGTGTGTCTTCGAAAGAAGAGTTCCTCACTCACATAAAA